GTAGAATAAATAAACAGGAGCCTTGCTATAGTTTTTAAAAGTGCCTTAACCTTTCTGCGTGCCCGCAATCCTGAATCCGCGCGGTCACCGGCCGTCTCTTCCCAGTCCCTGCGTCGCGCTGTGTTCGGCTCGTTCTTGGACCAGAAAGTTTACAGTAGAGGTTGAGAGAGAGAAAAATACCCACCGAAAAAGTGGAAATAAAATTCAAGACAAAACACAATAGAAGAGGCTGAAGCGAAGGAAGAAGAGGGAAATGGACGGGGACAGAGGCAGAGGCCCGGCGGTCGCTCGCTTCGAGGCTCCTTCAATTTTCTGTTTAAAGACAAAGACGGACAGTGGCTTCCGAAATGCAATTTGTTTGCACAGAGATCCACCTGTGGTCCACGGAGGAGACTACGGAGGTGGGGAGGGAGATCCGGAGGGAGATCCGTCCCCTCCTGCTCCCCGAAAAAGACGGCTCTAAAGGGAGACTTGCACAGTCCAAGACATTCTTTCCAAAAAAAAAAAAAAAAAAATTAAAAAGATAAATACTCAACCAAAAAATAAAAGTATTTGATAATGATTGGTCTCACATGTTTGCCTTTCTTCTAAAAATCTCCCCCGACTTCTGCCCTTGGCCAGGAAGGAGGGGGGACCTCAGCAGAATTTCCGGGTGGATGAGGAAGGCTTTCCCCGGCACAGCACCGTTGCAGCCGGGTTCAGCAGGATCAAAAACGTTTGTTACCGACGGCTGCAGTCCGATCAGACCCACCACTACCATTTTTTAACATTTTTGAGGGAGTGGGGAAGAAGATGCCAACCACAGCTCTATGTCTTTGCGTTGGAGATTCCTTGCCAAAAATTCCGGTTGGGAGGGGTCGAACCCTTTTCTTCTGCTGACGGTTATACCTCGAGAATAAAGCAGTTTCTTGTGCCGGTCCAGGGTCCCTGTGACCCGCCTGCTTGCACCAGGAGGGCCTGCGGCGGCAGCCTCACATCACACAAGGCTTGATGTCTTGGTAGGTGACTTGCTGGTGGTAGTAGGAGCCCCCGCCGGCAGAGTGCATGGAAGAGGACGCCATGGCGTTGAAAGAGAAGACAAATTCCTTTCGGTCACACATGCTGGGCGACTGGGAGTGATATCTCGGGATGCCTGCAAGGCGAGGTAACAGGAGGGGTTGGGGGAGCAGAAAAGCCAGAGTTCAGGCGGAGGAGCACAGCCATCTCCCCACCCTGTTCCAGGAGTCCCGGCCTTCCCGCCGTGCACCCCAGAAAAAAACCCCAGAACACTTGCCATGGCCTCCCTCCCGGCAGTGCCTGCCTGTTGGGTGCCTTCGGCTCTGCCTAAAGACTCCAGGGAGGGCCCCTAACTGCCATGGCGGCCACCATCAAGGCAGCCACCTCCCGACCTGAGGCTTGGATATCTGTGTGGAAGGAGAGGCCAGCGCCAGCCAGCAGCAGGGGCGAGAAGAGACTTCTCCAGAGAACAGGGCCTGGAGCGGGAGAGCCCCCCATGGAGAGGCCGCCTAAGAACTCCAGGCCTGGCTCCTGCCTCCTGCGGCTGCCGGCAGCTGACCCTGGACAGGCCCTGGTGAAATCACTCCAGCTCTCTCTAGAGCTGGGCCTGCAGGCTGTTGGGGGCGCTGAGGCAGAATCAGGCTGCTGCATCTCCCTTGGCAGATGCTTCTGTTTGTTGGGCCTGTTGGGGTATCAGGGGTGCTGGGGGCGTGGGTATCTGAAAACCTGGATTCTAAGAAACAAGAAGTCCCTGTGGCCTGGCTTGCAGCTCTGACCCTCCTGGGCCTGGCCACGGCACTGCCCTGTCCCCGACACCACAAAATGCCAGTGGACTCAGCTGTGGCTCTGCCAGGCCTAGTCCCCCGAAAGGCTGGGGCTAAGCCTCTGAGCGATGGCTGGACGTCTTCGGGCCTCACTCTTCTGCTCTGCCCAACCCCAAGCAGAGGCAGCTCTTCAGGCAGCCTGAGGGCCGCCACCAGGGAGGGAGGGCCATCTGGCCAGGGCTAGGAGCCCTGGGTCCACACCAGGACCTTTCCAAGGTGTGAGGGGACTTAAGGGTTGCAAAAGGACTTAAGGCACTGGGTCTGGGACTTCTTGCTAAGGAACGGCCTACCTGGTCAGTCTTGGGGCAGCCTGCAGCTGGAGTTGGAACAGAAAGAGAAACAGATAGTCCCAAACTAGGGTCAAGAGCGCTAGTCACTCTTCAAAGGGGGAAAGGTGGGGCCAAGAGACATCCTGGGGAGCTGGTGCCTCCCCTCAGCCGTGGGGTAGAGGGGATCGATCCCGGCTGGGTCTCGGTGCCACTCAGATTCAACTTCCCAGGGACCCGGGCGCCCTCTGCTTCCCCACTCACCTTGCAGCTCGGCTGGGGCGTTGTGGCTGTTCTGGTGCAGATATGGCTGCTCCAGGGAGTGCGTGGAGAGGCTGCCAGACAAGGGGTTGGCCGCGGGGTTACAGGGGGACAGGGGCTGCTGCTTGATGTAAGAGGCGCCGCTGTTGAGCGCCGCAGAGGCGGAGGGCGGCCAGGCCGCTGCAGTGCCGGAGTAGACGGCGTGCGGCTCCATGACCCCGCCGGCGCCGGCGGGCAGCAGCGGGGAGGCAGGCACCGAGCTGTCGTGGTGCGAGTACTCGCCGGCCGCTGTGCCACCGCAACTGCCCATGTACGAGTGGCCGCCGTTGGAGGGCAGGTGGGGCACCGAGTGGCTGGGCAGGGCCATGCCGTCCACATTGCCAGGCAAGTGGCCGTTCATCATGCCCAGGCCGCCCTCCAGTGCCAGGCTGTTCGGCGGGCACGAGAGGCCGCCGGCCGAGCCCTGGAAGCCGTAGGTGTCCGGGAGATGGTTGAAGCCGAGCCCGTTCATCATGCTGTACATGGGCTTGAGCGCCTGGCATTTCCTTCGGAAGCCGCGAGGCCGCCGGCGAAAGGAGCCCTCCTCGAACATGAACTCGCTGGCCGGGTCGATGGTCCAGTAGTGGCCCTTGCCGGGCCGCCCGAGGCCCTTGGGCAGCTTGATGAAGCACTCGTTGAGCGAGAGGTTGTGGCGCACGGAGTTCTTCCAGCCTTGGTAGGAGCCGCGGAAGAAGGGGAAGCGGCTCTGCAGGAACTGGTAGATCTCGCTGAGCGTCAGGCGCTTGGTCGGCGAGCTCTGGATGGCCATGACGATGAGCGCGATGTAAGAGTAGGGCGGCTTCTCCGGGCGCCGGATGCCGGCGTTCGTCTTCTTGGCCTTGGACGGGCCGGACGACGCGGGGTCCATGGCCGCGCCGCCTCCCCCGCCGCCACCGCCACCGCCGCCGCCGTGCGGTGGCTGCTGCTTCTCAGGCGCGGAAGACATCGGGTGGCTGCTGCCGCCGCCGCCGCTGCCGCCGCTGCTCTGCGCCACGGACCGGCCGGGAGGAGGAGGAGGAGGAGGAGGAAGAGGGCGAGGGGGGGGAGGAGGGCGAGGGGGAGGGGGCTGCGCGCGCGGGGCTGGCTGCACCTCTGCCGTCATCGGCGGCCACTTCTCCCGAGCGAGCCGCGGCGCGCCCGCCCCCGCGCTCCCGCCAGCCCTCCCCGAAGAGCTGCTGGATCCGCCGGCGGTTGGCTCAGAGCCCCTCACTCTTCAACTCCCTCCTCCCCCACCTCTCTCCTCCCTCTTTCTCTCTCGCCCTCCCACTAGGAAAGGAGCTGAGACCGAGGGCAGCCCGGGCGGAGGCCGTGAGGAAGTTACCCCTGCCGATATTTTTTGGGGGGAGACACTGCCTCCAGGGCTTACGGCCGTGCGCCCCCGCCGGGAGCAGCCCTGGGTCCCCAACGCCCGCAGCGCTCGGCTCCGAGATTCCGGCCGAGGCCGCCTTCACTGCAACTCTGCTCGGCAGCGTCTCGCCGGCCGGCGCAAGACCCTGCCGGAGTTCCCTCCCTCTCTGCCCACTCGGGCCCCCGCGCGTTTGTGGGCGCTTAAAGAGCCCCCACTCTCGCCGCCCCGCGGCCGCCAGCGGAATCCGCCCCGCCTCCACCAACCTGGCGAGCAAGTGTTAAGGCGCCCTCCTCCCGCGGTTCGGCCCCGGAGCGCGCTGGCCCCCGCCTTCCCAGCCCGGGTGGAGGGAAACGCGCCCTGGGCCCGGGCCTTCGCCGACGCGCACAGCCCAGTGGCTAATCGCAGGCGCGGCGGCCGCCAGGTCGTGACCATCGCTAGCACAGCCGGCTTCACTCCGGGTCCTCGCGGCCGGCCAGTGTAAGTTCCCGCGAGGGACCGCCTACCCAGTCTCCCCGCCCCGGGAAGGACTGAGCCGCGCCCGGGATTTTTCGGACTCGCCCAGCGGCGTGCGAGCGGGCGGGCAGTGGCCGGGGCAGAGCACAGGCGGAAAACGAAAGCGCTGGACGAGTCGCGGCCGCTCTATCTCGGGCGCCGCGGGCCTGGTGGGGGCGAGTGAGAACCCGCTGGCCCAGCGGCGACACAAACCTCACAGGCTCCGGAACAAGCGGAGTGCTCAGTCACTCACCCGGACGCGCACACACTCGTGCTCTTGTGTACATATTAGCACACACACAGGTCTTGATGCACATGCAAACCCGGTAAATTACGCAAACAGATGTGCAAACACACATGCGTGTGTGCACACTCAACTGCAAAGGGCGCGCAGGCATGTGCGCATCCACTAATGCGCTCGCTGACACAGAATAGGCCCACAGGAGCTTAGGTTCGCATTCCCACTCACGCGTACACATGCCACACTCGGATCTGAATTCAGTGGTAGTTCGTTGGCTTCCCCCACCCCCAACACACACTGAAAACCCGCCTATTTGGCCCTGCTGGCCCCATTTTCAAAGCGCAGGTTCCGATTTCCCGAGAGATGGCAAAGGCCCTGGCAGGAAGTTTACAGGGTTTAACGTAAACAAGTTCTGGGGGATTCTTTAATAATAATAATAGAGAATTCCGAGTCCGCTGGGTGGGAGGGGGGAGTTGGCCTAATGCCCCTGTGGGCTCGGCCTGCCGCCGCCGCGGAGGCCTCTGACACTGCGCACCAGGCCAGGTTCTTGAGAGCAGAGAGCGCGGGCGGGGAGCACCGGCCAGGGCGGCCCTAGAGCGCCTGGCTGCCAGCCTTCAGGGTGCTCCCTTGGAGGCCTGCCCTTGCTACCCCTAAGCACTGGGGTGCGGGCTGGGGGCGGTGGAGCCAGGAAAGGTAGTGCGGAGAGCCGAGCGCAGGACCGCACCGGAGCCACCTCTCAACGCGGCGCGCACAGACCCAGGTGAGTGCTGCTCTCGCAAAGACAGCTGAGCTCGGGGCCCGGCCTCTCCCTCCAGGATCCCGGGTTGGGAAGAGTGGGGCGAGGGGTGTTTTCGAGGGTCAGTGCGAGGAGCCTAGAGGCCCAGCTCCGGCGAGAGCTGTGGCAGGAGGCGTGTGCCGGGCTCGCAGCACTGTCCGCAGCGCGTTCAAAGCCCACCCGCCTCTCGGGTTTCTCCGGGCTCCCTGTCCCCCGCGAACTATCCTCCACCCCACCTTCCTTGCTCGGACGCCTTCATTTTTCGGCAGGAGATGCCTTGTCGCTTTCAGGGCGCCTGGCATGTCCGTGCGAGGAGCTGGGGGGCTCGCCAGCGCAGCCTGCCCGACTGTGGCGTTCTCGTCCCGACAGCCGCGCTCGCGGGAGAAGAGAGTCGCCTTCCCCGCGCTGCCCTTCCGCGAGCCTCTCTGGCTTTCCGCGCGCAGACAGCCTGACCCGCCTAGGAAAAGTGAGTGTGGGACGTGACTCGTGCTGTTTGATTGTGCATTAATGCAGGTAAACGCTCACGGGCAGACCCACTTCTACTTCACACAACCAGCTCAGCCACCGCGCAGACACGCTCGCACCGCCCACAGCCTCGAACACCGTTCTCAGCGACCCTCACACAGCTCGGGTGCCCCAACCCTCCGACCAGCACACAGGCCTGTTCACCTGGGAGGGCACACCTTGAGTTAAGTGCAAACCTCATGCACGCCTTCGTTTTGCACTGCGCGTTCGCCCACGCATAGCCAGGCGCGTGCACACACAATCATAGGTACCACCGCCCCACACGTGCGCACGCGTCCACGCACGCAGGTCCACGCACACACGCATTCTCACATTCCCTTCTCTCCACATTTTTTTTTTTTTTTTTTTTTTTTTTTTTTTTTTTTTTTTTTTTTTTAGCAAATGGCAGTTGCAGATGGGGAGACTGGCCTCCGGAGGAAAGTTCTGTTCCCAGGAAGGGGCGGCTACTGCCGACTGCCAGAGCACATCTGGCCTTTAGCAGAGAAGTGAGCAGGGGAGGCTGCCCAGCTCTTAAGCCAGCAAGGGGTGCAGGGCGCACCCTGCGGCTGGGCTCTCTGAAAGTGGAAATAATATCTCCCCTCCCCCACTCATGTTGTGCGATCAGAGTGAGGGGGTCTCCAGAGCATGAAGTTGGGGAGCCCTTTCCCAGCAGCCTTCTTCACTCTTAGGCCCTCTTCGGTTGGGAAAGGGAGGCAGCAGGTCCCATCTTTGGCTAACCCGGTGATCCATTTTTTCCACCCTCCTTTCTGCCCTTTCACCGGCTCTGACAGCAAACCAAACCTCACAGGACAGCAAGTCCTGAAGCCCAGGGGAAGAGCTGACGCAATAGCCCGGGGAGTATTGGCAATGCCAAAAGTGGAGGCTCTCCCCAACTGCTACTCTCTACTGGGGGTGTGTGTAGAAGTGGGGGCATGAGAGAAGAGGGGAATGAGCTCCTAGCTCTGCAATTTGGAGGGAACCCCCTGAATTCTGGGGAAAATCACAGCTGTAGCAAGAAGGGCTTTCCTTCATACCCAGAGACTGCAGTCTCAGCTCTTAAAACGTCCCTGAGAGGTCTCCCTTAATCCCTTAATCCTACATTTTTAGGGTGGGGAAATGGAGGCCCAGCATGGACGTGGCTTGTACTAGCCAGCGCTGAGAGGTGAATGTCTCTCCATCTCTCCTCTCTACCCCAAGGACAAAATACCCTGGCATTTCACTCTCCCAGGTGCCTCTGTATAGGCTGGGAGTAGAGAGAGTGGAGCTTAGGAATGCCTCTGCCGTTACCGCACTGCACAGCCCAGGCTTCCAAGGTGCAGGGGGCCAGAGAGGCCCATTGGAAAACCGATGGTGATAAAATAGCAATTACAACTACAAATACTGTGACCGTAACAGGATCATCTCCTGCAGCCCAGGCACGGGGCTCTGCTCCTCACTTGATGAACTACCCTTGTCTGCTCCTAACCTTTCTCTTGGCTGTTAATCCTTTGAGAACTAGTCTCACCTGACCCCACTCCCAGAAGGTACATATCTGTGACATTCATAGAATGATTTTGAAGTTTTCACCAAATGCCTGGAGCCCATCTGTGAACCTGTGACGCACTAACCATGAACACAGGACCCTGATTAAATGTCCCAAAGAGACTTGTTTAATATTCACCGTTGCTCGTACCAAGCGAGTATAATTTCCCTCCTCATTCACAGATGGAGATGGGCGAGGTCAGTCCAGGTCGTAGGTCACCCTGCAGAGCCAGTATTCAAACCTGGCCTGATGGCAGAACCAGGGCGTTAGGTGTCCTGACCATCGGGTGAAGCCCCGCGGCGCTCAGGGCAGAGGGGCCCCTCTACCGGGAGCCACAAAGGCAGGGGTATTTGAACTGTCCCCACGACACAGATGACGCAAAGCTTTCTGTGCCTTCGTTTATCAGAAAAATGGAACTAATGATGGTTCCTATTTCTTAGGGTGATAGAGAGGGTGGGACAAGCCCAGGCAGGGACAGTTTAGGTTGTTAACACAGAAGCAAACACCCCAGGGGCTCAGCTCCAGGGACAGAGGAGAAAATGCAGAAGGGACAGAGATCGCGGGCAGCCTTTTGCTCTTGGATTAAAATACACGAAGATCGGCCCCCTTCCACCCCAAACCAAATCTGCGCCCCAGCTCCGGCCCCAGGAATCCTGAAATTGGCGGAGTGGGGTGGGGGCGTAAAAACAGGCGCGTCTGCGAGGTCTCCCACTCCCCAGGCCCAAGGTATTTTTACTGGCTAATTGCTTAAGTGAAGCCGCCGGGGCCGAGAGCGCGCCGTAACCCGAGCGGGGAACCAGATCCCGCTCTCAAGGAGCCTGGGCCGGCCGCGCGGGCGGGGTTGGGGGCCGCCTAGACCACCCACCGCGAGGACAGCCGACCCGCCGGCCGCCGCCACTCCGGCTCGGCAATAACGCTGGGCCCGCGCCCCTTGGCCCCTGCTCCCTCCAACTCCCTTCGAGGCGAGGTTCAAACGACGCCTCAAGGTATGGCGGCCAGCCGGGACCCGACGCGGGCACTGAGCAGGAGGGAAGCGGCCTGTCCTGGGGGCTTTGGAAGGGAGGGAAGGAGGATCCGGCAAGGGTAAAGGAAACTTCGAGCCCGGCGGAGGGGCGCGGGAGGGATATTTGTGAGTGAAAATGCAGTCCTGGAGGCTAGGGGACGGTGGGGAAATATCAGGTACAGCGGGTGGATTATAAAATGATCTGTGGCCGGGCGCGGTGGCTCAAGCCTGTAATCCCAGCACTTTGGGAGGCCGAGGCGGGTGGATCACGAGGTCGAGAGATCGAGACCATCCTGGTCAACATGGTGAAACCCTGTCTCTACTAAAAATACAAAAAATCAGCTGGGCATGGTGGCACGTGCTGTCATCCCAGCTACTCAGGAGGCTGAGTCAGGAGAATTGCCTGAACCCAGGAGGCGGAGGTTGCGGTGAGCCGAGATCGCGCCATTGCACTCCAACCTGGGTAACAAGAGCGAAACTCTCAAGAAAAAAAAAAAAAAAAAAGATGATCTGTGTCCAGGTACTTGAGGGACTTCTTACACACTCTAGATGTGCACACGTCATGCTGCTGGCCGGTCCTGTGGGTAGAAGAGTGTGAGGTGGGCATCCAGTGTGAGTGGCTGGGCACACAGAATATCGAGAAGTGTGCACATACATCAGCCTCTGTGCGGGACATTCCGGGAGGATGTCAGTACCATGTGGTGGTTTCATGTGTAATGAACATTTTAAGATGTGAGCAATATAACTTGTTATGGAAGCCAAATATCTGAGTACAAAATGAGGCACTTTCCACAGAATATGAGGAAATGTGTACATAGCGTAATAGTATTAGGTACACAGACTCCTTCAGATGTGTGCAGGATTGCGTGCTACACACACGTTACATGTTACTCTGAGGGGTGTGGACCACATAACTCATTCCAGACACGGAGTATGGTAGGTTCTGTGAGCATGGAACCGAGGGTATACGTAGACTGCGCGTGTCCTGCAGTGGGTTGTATGCATGGTGCATTTAAAAATGTATACAGTGCAGTGCCTGAGGGAACAGCACTCCACGGGAGACCCGTGGATGCCAAACGAATTCTGGCTACAGCAAATTGCAAGGACAGGGTCCACGTGGTGACCAGTACTGTCCCCACCTAAGCACCGGGCCATGTTTGTACAGGGGTGCATGGCTGCATGGCTGCATGAAGGGAAGACTGTCCCCAGGTTACCACGCCTCCTGACACGAGGCTGTCGTAGTAAGAATGCAGTAATGCAGTGACTGCACAGCGAATGTTTTCAGATGCCTGCCTGTGTGCCCTGGCTAGGAGCCTCAAGGTCATCTCAGCTCACAAAATCCCGCCACAATGCTGTAAGGAAGATTCTCCTTTTGATCTCAGGTTCCAGGAAAGCAAAATGACACTCCTACTTTATTTTTGTAGCCATCAAGTGACATTTACCTGCTTTGTGGCTCTGGGAGGGGAGTGTCAGCAGTGCCTGGTGTGGTGTGGAGATGCTGGGAAGGGGTGTGTTGGGTTCCCAGTGGGCCTGTGGGAGGCTGTATGCTCAGGACATGGAGCCTCCTATCTGCAGTGGGCAGAGGGAAGACGCAGGGGCCAGAGAGATGTGCAGAACTGGCAGCAGAAGAGGCCTGGAATCCTGGGGTCCCCCATGCCTGCAAGCTCCTGGCTTGAGCCACACATTTTGGAGTGCTGTCTTCACTTGTACCTGCTGCTGCCTGATCAAACTCAAACCAAGGTAGTCAGTCAGTAGCACATAGCAAGCCAGGCTCCACGCTCCTCCCCAGACTCTTCATGGGGGCACCCCAAGGTGAGGAGGAGGGAAAGACAGCACCCCCTGGCCTGCCCAGCCCTGTTACACCCTCTTAGCACAGATGGGGCTGGGAACCCACCTGTGGGGACCATCAGGGTCAAGTTTGGGAGCAGCTGTGACGAAGGTGATCCCTGGTCCCAA